ACCAAATAGCAGCCATTATCTGCGAAAATAATCACATCCTGACACTTATATATATTATAGGTAATACCCTCTGATCTTGATGTGAATTCCAGGAAAACAATTGATGACTGTTCCCTCTACTCGATCCAGTGGAGTGTAAGCTGTCCATATCATTGATATTATCATTATTGACGCAAACAACTTCCAGAGAGACCGCGCGTCCGGTATACGTATGTGTCTATTCAGCCCAGATCAGTTTGACTGTCCAACTATTTCGATGCATTGAAAGACTATATTTTCAGTTGTTTGTTCAAATCGGCCCGGTACCTAATGTAGTTACATTTAGTTTCCATCAGGGCGGACGGTTTAGTAATGATTGATTTTACGATTTACATGTCCTATACTAAAATTTACCACGCTTTGATTATATATTACAGTGTCAGTAAAAATGTCATTAGGGTATAATAAGACAACACATCCGAGCTTCTCTAGGAGCCGTGGAAATGTGTACCTGAAAATATTAAATAATATTCAGTAAAGTTGTCGGTAAAGTCGATTTCGAGCTTGGATTTACGTGGGAAATGTTAATATTTTGGTAGAGGGAAAGTCGTTTTAAGGGAAATCAGACGACTTTGCAGACGACTTTACAGACGACTCTACTGATGCCTTTACATGTCACGCTTCTGTCACACATTTGGGCGTATACACATTGGGGGATAAGTTTTGGCCACCCGTGATGCTTCACATGATTGACGAAGGCCATCGGCAATGAAACGAATCATCACCGAGCATCCTACTATTATTCCAGGAGCATTAAGCAAGAATTGCCTGCATGTATATGCCAAACAATAGATCCACCAAAATGAAATTGTATTCCCCAACTGTTACAAGCCCATTGATGCCAGATACCATTTGATGACCCCACCGAAATATTGAGTACTCAACTATCTCGAGATCTAGAGGGGGGGCTTCATTGGAAAACATTAATTTTCCGGTGGAAAGCATGAAACGCCGGAAACAGTCAGTAAAGTTGTATTTTATTGCCTTTAACATGCCTTTAACATGCCTTTAACGGGGAATGTCGTCAGTAAAGTCGTATCTTATTGCCTTTAACAGGTAAATGCATCAGTAAAGGTGTCGGTAAAGTGTCGGTAATGGGACAGGAATGCCTTTAACACAGAGTAGGTCGGTTATTGCATCAAATAATGTGTATCTCGCAACTTTTTGTATGGGAAACGTCAAAATTGATGCATTTCCACGGCTACTAGAGCTTGTTGTATATACCGTCATAGTAAAAGGTGACTTAGGCCTACATATGGTTATGCATGGCCGGGGCTGCCTCTACTAGCGAAGTAAATGCATCTTTTAATGCATTAACTGACGATGCTGTGTGAAAATGCATCCCGTGATGCCTTTCGCTGCCATTTCCAACTGGAAATTGGTTGGAAAGTCGTTGGAAAGTGGTCGGAAAATCGCCCACGTCGAAACCTTGTTTTAAAACATACCCTGCTGAAGAAAGCTAATATAGGTTATTCTTTAACGGTTCGTAGTTTAATGGTTCTGCTCTATTCCAGCTGTTGGATGTGCTAGGTTCGAATCCTAACTTACAAAAGTATGCCTTTTTAACCTCATATTTAGCTATTAGGGTTGGGTAGAAGGAAAGTCGTCATGAAAGTCGTCATGAAAGTCATCCATTTGCGCTCAGGATGCATTTCCTGATTCATTTCCCGATTCATTAACAGATGCATTTTCTATAATAAATTAAATAACGACTTTCCAGATACTTATCCAGATACATTTACCCACATAAAACATAGGCGTAAATATGATGAATTTCCAGATACATTTATTTTTCCACTAGAGTGCTCACACATGATCATGAACGATAGCTACATATCCCTTCGTCTGTCAAACGTACTGCCCACCCTAAGTTTGGTGTCAAAGTGCGCACTCACACGTGTGTTTACTCATAAATTAAATATTTTTATCTTTCTTATTAGTGACTTGATCTTTGATCAGGATCACCAAATTGCGGCCCTATGTTATAGGGTAGGCATAAGCATCGACAGACTAAGGGAATATCCTTCTCATTTAGTCGAGTTTTAGCCATTGATCATTTGGTAGTTGTTATTGACCCAATGGGGCTGAATTGTTTTCTCCCTTAAATAAACAATTAGGGTATAATATACAAGAGCAAAGTACTAAACTACGTAACCCTCCACAGCTATAGCTACCCTTGGGTTTACAATGCCCTCAAAAGTTTAAAATACCCCCGGTGACCATGGCAACGCAACGAGCTGTGGCTCATGATTAATTGATCACTTCATTAATTCTTGTTGAAATCGAGCGTCCTATATTTCTGCCTATTAGTTTGAGGTACGAATAGGATGCCTAGCGCAGGAAGGGTTAGGACGAGTGATGACGGGTGATGGCGGGTGAACAGTATCAATATCAAGGGTGGGTCATACTTACCAGGGTTGTGGACGTCAGCGACCTCTCTTCTGTCCTTTTCTTCTCTCTCACTTCTGCAATCAAGTACGAGCAAGTCAATATTAAAAGCTATCATCGTTCTCAACAATTTTATGCAACGAACTGTGATCATGAGAGAAGAAAAAAAAGGCTACATTTGAGATTGCCGATTTCTCCAGGTGTTAGGAGATAAACACAGCTGAAAAACGGACATGAGAGGCTCAAAGACAGTACTAACTTAACCACATATCCAACGGGAAGCTTACAGTGCTGCTATTCCCAAACGTTTTAGCCATTATATGCTCGTCTAGGTAAACTATTTCGAGGTTGAACACAAGATCCCTCTTAACTCAGAAAAAAAATAGCTTTCCGCATATATATATATAGTAAGCAAATCAATTGAGGGTTTTCAAATTCATAATGTTACTGTTACTGTTACACAGTGTGGTCGACAGGGACGCTCGAAGCGAGGTTTCGAACCGTCCTCAAGGTGCTTCGTCCTTGTCAGCTCTTGCCCTTGCCTATCCTCGAGGTAATAGGCGAGTCCTCAAAATTCCTCGAGCTTTCTGGAGACTTATTTTATTTCTCCCTCATACTATGATTGACCTGTACTATAAGATTGGTCTCTATATATAATTAATCAAATATAGTATGTACTCATATTCGAGATACGATCCTCTCATAGGCCATATAATGCTATCATTGTCCTAGTGGAGGCAATGGCATGACACATACTGTCCTCCATGAACCTCGTCCTCGTAGACCGCTGGCCTTTGGTGCCATCGAGACCATGCGGTTCTTGAGCCAAGGACACAACTAGGGCGCTCGCCCTCGTAAATCACACTAGCGTGGTCCACGAGTCGTCGAATTTTGCTATGAGCTCGAGCTGCTTGTCCATTTAGAAAGTCTTCTCTGCTTGGCTCGTAAGATCGCCTCTGCTTGTGACGAAACTCGGTCGAGCTTTCCAATATTAGAAAAATATATATATAAAGTTACTGCGTTGAACGTATTCGTTATGAAAAAAGATGTTAGGCTAAGTGGCCTTTTAACTGTGATCGGAATGCGTGCTTGTACGTATCGCGATCGACGCCCTCTGCTCGACCTTTCTCGAGAATAAAGCCTAAACTTTTAACTATAACACACTTGACTCACTCACTACATTTAGTATTTACAGTAAAAAAAGAAAAAAGAAAAAAGAAAAAACAGTTGTGATATGTTATGATATATGTACCGGGCGTGCAAGTTAAATATCGAGACGCCTTGAAGGATTGGTTGATTTTGTATGGAAACCGCCTATGGCAACTAAAAGTCCCCAATGAATTTTAGTCTTGGCCCTGAAATTTGTATGGTAGAAAAAAATACCGAGACGTTTTATCTATCCTCACTTAAAAATCGAAATATTTTCCTAAAAATACAAAAAAAATAACCACTGAATAGCCCCCTCCCACAGCTACATCTGAGTATTAATTCGAAGTTATCAAAAGAGCTTTGGTGAAGTTCGAAAAGAACAGGAGTAGAAAAGAGGTTGAGGAGGTTGCTTTGCGAAAGCTGCGGGACACACTACCCAAATACCTGCTTGGCTGCCAACTGTCAAAAATATTTATATCAGCCCAATCAGAGCCCTCACTTTTAAAAATTACCCAAAACGGGGTTCTCAGTACTTACCCTTAACCCCTGGTACACTCATTAAATGTTATTTACATCATGAAATATCACTCGTGCGCATATGTTAGGGTCAACTCGGAACGAAAAATCTCCACCATCGGTAGGTTCCGCCTATCATAAGGAGGGATTGCGCTGGGTAAGCTACAGTCATCTCGATCTACCCGCTCGCTTGACCACTCAGCTACCCCTTAGATGCATCAACCCAAAGTTAACTGCAGGGTCGCCGCCAAGAGCCTGGGGAAATTGCCAGTCCTTATCAGGGGGCGGTCTTGTGACGATATTCAGCCCCTCAAAGTATTTTCTGCAGGTGATTATGATGGTGCGGAGGGTCAACCGTATGCTACAGATGGAATTGCCTAGCTTAGGGTTTTGCTGTACTACTCATCGATCAGGGAAATCCAGGTTACATCTTGGCCTACAGAACTGGATAACTACAAGTAATCATTTCATAGTTGTCTAGACCTCCTCTCGGTGCACAGGCAGTCCCGGAAAATGAGTACGAAGCACGGTCCGCCAGAATAGATACCTAGGTAGCGGATGTCAGAGAGACGCACATATGACATTGACCAGTGCCTTGGGAATATATTAATACTCTACTACTTATACATACATATTCTGAATATCAGGGACTTGGTTCACATACTGTGGCAGACATAGTCTCGGTCGGTATTAAGGTCGTTCTGTGGCCTAGCTTTTGTCCGATCTTAATTGTGCTATGGCTGTGCTGTACTGTCTCAATTGAAATTGGCGATTGAGCGACGATCTGCATTTCCTTTCCTCCGCACGGTCTTACTTGTCTTCTAGACGCACTAAAAATTCTCCTTTTCAAGAAGCGTGAGAATGGAACAGCATGCAACAAAATCTATTTCTTTTTATTTTCAAAAGTTCTAGCAATCGCACCTTCCAACCCATCTGGGAAAGGTGACCGTTTCTCTGATATTGTCAACCCCAGCCAAATAACAGAGTAGTCTATCAAATCCCATCCCAAAGCCACCATGCTCAGTAGAGCCCCATTTCCGTAGTTCTGCATACCACCTGAGATTCCCCAATTCATCCTCGTCTTCAGGAACAAGGTCCATCTTCTTCATGGCGCCTACAAGTTCCTCATACCGGTGTTCCCTAAGAGAGCCCCCAACGAGCTCTCCTACAACAGGAAGCAGGAGATCAAAGCAGGCTACTGTCTCTCTCCCCTCTTGTGTCTCTCCGCGAGAAGGCAGCATATAGAAAGGCTTTAGATCGCGGGGATAGTCCGTGACAAATACCGGGCCGCCCTTCCCACCACCCCCAAGTGTCTGAGCCAAAAACTTTTCATGCTCGGCTTGCAGCCCCACACCCCATGTCGGAGGAAATACAAACTTGACTTCACCGCGGTTTACGGCGGCTTGGAGCCCGTCAACTGCTTCAGTGTAGGTGATACGTGACCATTCATTCTCGAGTAGACCCTTCCAGCGCTCCTCAATTTCACCGGCCTTTTCACCGGCCGAAGAGAGGGTTTCGGCGCCCACACGCGAGTTTGAGATCCCTCTAACGAGATCCTTCGCCATATCTTCGACTGTGTTTAGAAGTGGCTCCAAAGAGTCTATGAATGAGGTTTCAACCTCCAGCATGTAGAACTCGCTCAGATGCCTAGCCGTATCCGACTTCTCCGCCCTAAACGTCGGCGACAATGTCCACACTCTCGGCAGCGCTGCCGCCAGGGCTTCCAAATGAAGCTGGCTAGACACTGTCAAGTATTTTGGGTCTCTAAAGAAGTGTGCAGCCTTGTTTTCATTGGTCGCGGCGGCATTGGAAGAGACTGTGAAAACCTCGCCGGCACCTTCAGCATCCGAGGAGGTGATGATTGGAGGATGACATTGGACGAATTCATGGGAGGAGAAGAAGGCTGTGAGCCGGGATATCATGTAAGAACGGAGTTGGAGGAGGTTGCTGTTGCCGGGAATACGGGAGCGGAGATGAGGTAATGATCGTAGGTATTCTGCAGTTTGGTACTTCTTTTGAAGAGGGTATGTCTAGAGTTTGATATTGTATCTTAGCCTGAGTTGTTACAGTAGGCGCTTCTCCTACCTCCTCCCATTTTACTTGTGAGGAAACCCAGGTTTCAACTCAGGAACTTTCACTTTAGAGATACAGAGAATTTCTCGTTTCGAAACTTGTCTCATTGTGAATATTCAAGTGCGTGGGGGTGGGTGGTTTAAGGTGGGGGCGCAAGTAATATAATGGTAAAAGAACATTCAGTATGTAGGGAAGGGGATGTTTTACTTCAGGATCTGCTTCTCCAATTATTTTTACTTCTTGGGCCAGTAGTTCTTTCGCCTGTTTCCCGCCAGAAATAGATTTCTTCCATTCTCCCGTAATCTTGACGCTTGCCCCGGTTGCGAGGCTGGATACATAGACCAAGCCTAATGTCAACCTTCATGTTCTTCTGTAGTCGACGACTACATAGATGATCCCAGATTCTAGACCAAAGCATAAGGCGAGGAGAGAGAGTGGAGAATAAGGGGTGTAGAAGTGTAGAAATAGAGAAATGTACAAAAATGGAAATCAAGAACCTACCCCTCACTCTGTTCCTTCGTCAAGACTGCCTGCAAAGGCACCGTAGTCGAGCCATCAGCTATATGTGCAAAAGACACATTTTTCATGCGTCGAACTGAACGGATCCAACCATGCACCGTTACCACCGGCGGAGCCATCTCCTCCTCCCCATTGGCGACAGTGCTGTTTTTGGTCTCTCCGAGATCGACATGGATATTTGAGATTCCATTGAGAAGAGAAACGATGGTTCGCGGTAGAGGCGTCGACTTGGAAGACACCCACCTACGCGGGGCAACGGCACCAAGTCTGGAAGCTAATGATTGTCGCAGGAGCAGGGACTGGTGGGGTAAAACCATGGTGGTGGTGATAATTAGTTTTATTGAGCCTCTGGCTGGCTGTGAAAATTATTGGAGTTCGCTTTTAGCTGAAGCCAAGCTTTTTCAACAGGGCCAGAGCGGTAAGCACAGACCACTCAGGCTCTAAGCTCGTCTGTCCACCTCTACTCTAGTCCCCCTTGAACTCTTTCCTCCACTGGTGTCTCACCTCCGTCTTAGAAAACAGCATACGCAGGGGTAGTAATCAACCTCACGATCATCATGATGGCCTGTCTAAAGTCCTCATGCCCAGCGGAGAATTCTAGGCTTCGTGTTTAGCCTTGCCTGCGTAGCCCTGGTCTTTGCACGACGACGATCACAGCATTCCAAATCACGGCCAGGTTTTTTTCTCATCCCACGGCGCGGCGGATGTTTGATCGGCCCTTTTGACGTCTACGGATGTATGCACCAAAACATCACATCGGGGTGGGGCGATGGCCACGGAAGCGCCAGGTACACCTTTATCGGCTCAGTTCTTGATGCCGAGTCACCGCTGCCGACCTGATTCAGGCGACCCGGAAGCCGAGCCTAAATAGAATCTGTGAATTACAACTCCGCGGAACTCAATATTCATGTCTCGCTGGTGGTGGTTTGGGGCATTTATTTGAAGGCTAGCTCCGGAGTCCAGATCTAGACGCCTACACAGGAGTATGGTGTACACGGGCATGGTGCTTCAAGAAGGAATCGACGAAATTAAGAAAGTCAAAACAGTAGAAGTCTTTATTTGATACAGGGAATATTATCTATATGCTTTGTGATATTCTCCACATATTCTGTCCTCATTTTTTGCCGTTCTTAGCTGTTGCACCATACACCGCCGTGAGTACTATCCCAGTGAGCGTCTAGAGCAAGGTCAACCACATACTCTAATTAAACACATACTTACTGCAAGTACCAATATCTGACTACTACATGTATTCAGGAGCCTGGTACGTACATATATCTAGGCGTATCGGCGTATACGTATGCGTGTATGTAATCATAAAGGTCCCACGAGAGAGTCAAGATATATGTACATGTATGTACTACTAGCCCAAACTATCCACGAAATTACAATACCAATCATCATTAGTTGTAGTCGTCAACCCGAGTTGTGCTCCTCCGGCTCCGCCGATGTGTAGTCTCTAGATATGCAGGAAACCTGAACTCCTTGATGAAGGGTAAAAACGAAATATTCAGCTGCTGAAAATCTGTCTGACTGATTCTGATTGGTATAACTCCCGAGATAGCATTAGGATCGAAAGGTCCTAATTAAAATCGGCCTACCTACCAGAAAATTATACAACAGTGCGAGTGAAAATAATTAAGGCAAGCCAAACTGGTATTCTCATCCCCATCCCTTTTGGCGGGAGGGTAGGGTAGTAGCAGTAGATCTGTGCAATGCACCCGCCAGTCAAATGCGACTCATCTCCCTGCTGCCCTGGAAGAAGGATGTAGAGTAGGTGATCGACTGCAACACTACAGAGTGTACGGATAGTTACATATGTACTTAGTCCTATCAACAGACTAGTTGCATAAGACTTCCGATCGGCGAGGTATTCAGGAACAAAATCGAGAGCCATGATAAAAACCTCCTCAGATTGAGTCGAATCCGGTGTGGCGGTGATCCACCCGCGAAACTGTCTGAGGTGTAATTGTGCCAGTAGTGTTGATTAGCGTTGGTGGTGTAATTATGTAGTGATGTTAGTGATAGTCTACTCTATAAGTTGGTTAGTGGCTGTGACCAGTACCACAATTGCACTTAGCAAGTATTTGTCAAGGGATACGTACTTTTATGTACTGATCCTACGAACCTGGCAGCTTTCACAGGTACAAAAAATCTTGGTCTACTAGCTAAAGCTAGTGAGACCACCTAACTATGTGCAAAACAAACCATGGCTATTCATCCCAAAAAAAAAAAAAAAAAAGGAAAGGAAAGGATGACATGACTTCGAGTGGAGATCGAATTCCCCTCAACTGGAGAAAATCCGGAACATTTGTTTCGGTTATTGACCACTCCTCCAAACTATGTTTTTTTTTAAAAATCTCTAGGTTTACGTACGGGAAGAGGCATACGGATCGATCTATGTTTATTCTTCTGCATAGAGACCCCCGGGTATCGATGTAACAACTACTCGGTTGGAAAATGTTCGTTTAAACTTTTGGTGCTATGTAGTGAGGAGAGAGCCTCAGTATTGCCGTTGGTATTAGCTTTCCCAACTGCAAGGGACCAGGCCAATCAATATTACAATGAACAAGTGTCACGTACAGAAGATACATACATCTATCTAGCAATAGAGCCCATCGATTACTCATAACCTACGGTTCGGATTCATGGTAAGAAAAAAGAACAAACCACCCCTTACGTGAGGTTCTAGCTGAGCTTTACCATGGTTTTAGCTGGCAGTATACTACATGTAGCTACATGTAATGGCTCGAGTTAGATATAGGCCAGCCATACAATGCAGCTGATCCAGGTTCAAAAGCCAAAAGAAAACGATCGATTTTCATTGAGTGAACCCCCCCCCCCCCTCTCACTCCCCCTCAACCCCCCACAGCTACCCCCTACTGGGATATAAATTAGGACAAAGAGCCAGCCTTGGGATCCATTGGACAGAGACAAGATTCCATCCAATATTGAAGCCAACCTACACCTACGCCCTATCAAACCGCTTTAGTACGTCGTTTACTTATATACATACAACCACTAGCGGTTGTAACTTCATATAAACAAATCTACCTTTTTATACTAGCTAGCTTTCCATACAACAATTGAAAAGCTCTTCATAGCTATAGCTAGCTAGCTACAGATCAGCTTCATCAGGCATATATATATACTGATATATAAGTATATATATTATATCTCATACTCGTTGAGTATCCTAAACGATGCCGACAAATCGCCAGCGTGCTATTATAGCATCGGCCGAAACAAAGGCCTTACTTCCCGAGGTTCCTCAACGGAGTGGCACAATTCCTACTTCTTATTTCTACCCTTACACTGAACCTCTTCCACCGCTACCGCCAAATCTTCGCCAACGGACACTTCGGACCGCCGTGATAGAGGACCTGGAGCCTCTCGATGTCGCTATACACTGGCAAAATTACTCATTCTCCAAGGATGACCCTACCAGTGCATTTCCATTTGGCGGCGGCGATTATGTATCCTCGTCGTCCGCCCCCTGCGGGCATCGTGCACCTCCCGTGCACTTCAGAACGATAATAGATGGCGGGCAGACAAATCGAGTACTCGTACTCAACACTGCCAACGAGAAGAAGGCCGGAGGCGAGTGGGATGGTGGGATCCTGACCCTCGAGGAAGGGTTCGCACGCCGGTCGAACCTCGTTCAGGCACTTAATTGCACGGACCCACGCACGCCGGCCGTGCAGACATACTATCCGCTACCTCAAACTGGGGCCGTGTACTCGCCGAGTGTCGTGGTGTTTCGTGAAGGGTTCAAGGGTGGCTACACTATCTGGGGGGATGATGAATGGAAAGTGGTCTCAGTTGTATCGGCGCCACCTGTGAGGCGACCAAAAACCGATGAAACTGGGATGAAATATTCCTTCGACGAGGAGAAAAACCTCCAGCGCGATAAAATGAAATCAATCCTGAGGGTTGCGGCACTCAATGGGCATACAAACCTTGTTCTGGGTGGATTTGGAAGCTGTGGTCCGGAGGGAAGTGGTAGTGGGGTGTATAGAAATCCCGTTAGGGATGTGTGTCTATTATGGAAGGAGCTCTTAGAGAGCGAGGAGTTCGTTGGGTGGTTTGCAAATATCGTCTTTGCGCTGGCCGGGGATAGTGGGGGCAGTTGGGCCACAGAGGATAAGGATTGCGCCAAAGAGTTTAATGCTTTCTTCGGTCCTGGTTAAGCAGCTACAGTCGATGATGTCTAATCCAGTGTAACTGGATACTTCTGTTTTTCAGGTAAAGTATAAACTTTGGTGCGACAGTTGGGGTTTCATTTGCGGTGTCCCGGTCTGAGTGTGTTATCAAATTTCACAATATTTTTTAAAGGTTTTTCGTTACTAGAAGGAGGCCAGAGGTTTGTCTGGACTATATTTTTGGAGTGCTGGGTGTTCTTTTTTTCCACGTTCTTTTATTTTCATATATATATGTCCGATTCAGCAACTTATTTTTAGCCGTATTTTTATGAGATCAGTGTAACAGGTATGCAGAGATGAAAGTTGGCCTGGTCCTAAGAGAGCTGGGTACGAGCCTAACCTGGTCCAGGATTCGGGAAGTCTGGTTTACATGATCGGAGTGTTGTTTAGTTAACAATATACTACAATCAAAGGAACTTTCAAGCATGATGAGCCCATCAGCTTAGGGTTAGAGCATTTTAGTCCCAAATTATGGCAGAGATATGGGGGCAAAAATATCCTATTAAAGTTTTTCTTGATAAGTGATCGTGATCCAAGGATGTTGAACGCCCTAGCTTCTATGCCACAAGTGGAGGCTGTGCTGGGCAAAAAAAAGAACTATGACCTATGACCTATGACGTCTGTATGTCTCACACTGACACTAGCCCAGTAAGTAAATCCCCGAAAACGAGTTCCAGCATTAATTGCGCCGTCCATACATTCCACTTTTTCTACCGCCAAGAGAACCGAATGATATTCGGTGATCGAAGCATATGCACCAAAGCCCCAGCCCCTGGCCAGATTTCCCAAATTTATTCCTGCACATGACTCTCGTTACTCATGATCTATATGCTCATTTATTAGGGACAGAGAGATCGAAGCCACTCGGCGCACTAGTGTATGGCGACAGACCCCTTTCTCCCCCTTTGGTGCTCAAATTAATTGAATACGTACGATCTATATACCCATTAATTCATTACTAGTCGGTGCACTAGCTCGGTGATTGGAAGTCACTTTTCTCCCCCAGGATACGGATTTCTAGGATACCCATGGATGTATCGCCTGTTTTGGACGGGGAATTGTTAGCTCTATGGCGACTCACTCCTCAGCTTGGGATATGTTCAATCGGCTGGCTGCCGGATCTATAGAGTATGGAGCTGTAAAAGACCCAAAGACCACACATTCCTATGATTCGGGCCCATACTAGAGTAGATAATGTATCTGTCATTTATATATATGACTGAGAATGTTGGTGTACAGGATTTATTGTTTGAAGCGTACGCGTAGCAGCGTAATAGAGCTACATACTAATAGTGTCAGTGAATCGCGGAGGTTGGCGGAGCCGATTTCCCGACGAAAAATAAAGGTCGTCGATCTAGTCCATTCCGGTATCGTGGTTTGACCGTTGTCAGATTATAAATTTGTTTTTTGCTCAAGCGAATTTCTTTTGATCGGGGAGATTGCCTTAAGTTCGAGCAGACGAATCAAAGCCGTTACCAGAAGGCAGGACCTAGCTAGGGTGCTCCTTTTTCGGAGTGGTACTACATAACTTAGTAGTACCCAGAAGGTTGGGACGACCTTTAGGTCAATCAATACATGTTATTCTTGAGTCCATGACATGCTCTGTGCGGAACTATGGCCTAGTCAGTGGCTGAGAAAAATCATCAGCGGCTGATACTTGACAACTATCGTTCACGGGGTGATGACGGGGGCTGGACCGTGTTGACGGATTAAACCAAAACAGAAAAAATAGAGCATCCAATCTCTCTTTCTCATTGGCTTAAACTCCCCTGTTCGCCAATACACCGTGAACGACAATGCCGGCGGGGCCACCGGCCCACAGTTTAATGGCGATTTCCACACTCGGCAACCGATCCTGAATCTTTGGATCGAGATTGACAGACCCAAAAAGTAATAAGTGATCTCATTTACCTAGTTACTATTGCAGGTCCCTGCACATCCCAATCAGCCCCTGACTCTAAGTGACCCTGAATTTGCTAATCTTCCCATATCTATTTGTATGCTAGATCAAAGACCGGACTAGCCAGATAGCATATCTAGCAAAGTTTCGATCATTCAAGTATTGCGTTCTATCTTGTTATTGTTATTAATGTTGAGTAACTCTTTTACCCCGAGCACTCAACTCAGGATTAAGTATATGTACGTTTCGATTCCAGCTAAACGATAATAGATGGGATGAGACATCTTCATCATGCACATGGGACCTTTTCTTTGTGTCTTGCTTTTTTGGACCGGCAGCTTGAAATAGCTTTCCCAAGTACCTCGTTGTCAATTTGGGGGAATCCGAGGAGAGTAAAACATACTTTCGCGATTTTTGAATCGGTATGTTCCGTGTAATATAATGTCCTTTATCTCAACACGTTTGTTATTACAGTCACTATTGTCAATGAGACAGTCTACTAGTAGGTACTAGAGTTGGACGCAACGGGGCCTGGTAGTCCGACGGATTCTGCATCATGTTGACAGCCTCGTGTGAATTCGATCCAACATCTCCTGGATACGGATGACACAAGACACTTTCCTAGTCTAAAGATACTGCACTAGCTAGTTGGCCTGTAGATATCGACAGTCCATAGGTAGCTGCTGTAGCTTTCTTACTTCTCATGGATCATGGTTGAAAGTCTTTGTTTGGGCAAATAGCCCGTCGATCGGTCATAAATTCCAGCAGGAGTATTGACTAGGGAAGTTCGTGGCGAGGGTCATTATCATCGGGTGTATGCAGAGTGATTATTCATGACCGTTGGGCCAATATCTAACTAAATGGAAACAACCCCCAAACGGTCAATAACCTGATGTTTATCGTGTATCAAGTGATCACCAACCCTTTCATCTTTGGTTCGAGCTTCCTGCATGATAATGCTGATTTAGGCAGCTTTAGAAATGTCGGCGATATTCCTTGTGAAACACTGAGAAGACAGGAAGGAACCCAAGGGCCTGGGTGAACAACTGAAACCATTGCATCTGAATTTTGAACTGGCAACTACTCCGATGCGGACCACGCATACCATTTGCTTTTAAAGGGCTCGTTTTTGTGTCATGGGCAACATGAAAACTTTCCCTAGCTACCCGAATACCCCTCATGCCACCCGAACAGTTAATCATGCACTGTGACTCATATATACTAGAATTTTCGGTGTTCGGGTAGGTTATATGCATAATGGGTGGCTCGGAAAGCTGGCGTCGTCCATCGTATATAACTTTGAAGTACTTGAGGGCCATTTGGTAACGGGGCGACCCTACGAGCTCTGTCCTGTTCGACAGCTAGCTACATGTATACATGTAGCATGTACGATTTGCCAACTTATATATTCTGACATCAACTGACCTATTTAAGAAAAACTTCTTCAACCGATAGTATAATGTATTAAAATATTTTGTGTTTGAAAACATCTTCTCTTGACACTGCTTATCAGCTTCAGATAAGTTGCTAGTTCAACAGATTGTTGTAACGATTTTATTTGTCGATTTGAAGGCCTATATACCTACATGTAGTTATTAACTACATTAATTCAAGTACTAATTGACAAAACACGTAGGGTACATGTGTAGATACGTACATGTTGCCAAACAGCTGAAAATTAACAGTAACTCACTTTTGCCAAGTGTTAAATCAACGGCATAACCACAACGTTGAAGTTACCTTGGGAGTACTGATCGCACGGCAATTACTCGCCTATCTCCGGAATCGATTGGGTATGGTTTCAAATTAAGATGCCACGCAGAGCACATGCCCAGCAGCTTCGACCAACCACCGCCCAGGAGAGTTGAGTAAGATCTTCTTGCGAAATGAGACGACAACGGATCCAATAGCCAACAATCGGTTGTTAGTTCCGCGAGGGTTACGAGTCTAGTGTGTGGAATTGATCAACCATATTAAAGAAGCCCATAATAATTCTCCTCGGACTATTGAATTTGTCTCGGAGTTAACCGCGGTTCATCACGCTCGGGATTCTGAAAACCGGTGCCCGATATTCTAGATCTGTTTCAGTACTTATGCCGGAAGTCTTAGACGGCCACGAGGTGGTTAGGCTTGAACTATTGTATCATAGGCCTGCCGTTTGAACCATACAACTCCCCAGAACAGAATAACCAAGCATCGGGGTGATATCACGATTCGGTTTAGATATCTCCTCTGTTTATAGTGAGACATTCGGAGACCTACAGTATAAATCTCATATCTTTATAGATTTAGAGATGTGCTAATGCGTATACGTAGAGATCTCGGATTTAGTGCCCAATGTTCAGTAGGATAAAAAGGCCGCGGTGGGAATTCTAATGTCGTATTATCATTGGCACTAGGGTGGTTCCTTTTGTTTGCTTCTTTTTCTTACTAAGATTCGACAAGAGTGACGGTAATTAACTTTAGACAATCAAGTCCACATCCAAGCAATCTCGGGAGTATTTTATAGTATGTAATAGAGCTTAAATACTCGCGTCAGGGAAAAAGAACCAGAACATGCAAGTGAGAAAGCAGAGATTATTTGTATAGAGTAGCGCTGAGCTGCCATACAAACTAGGCATTTGCATGTTCTGGTTCTTTACCCAGACGTGAGTAGGGTCCAGTTGATAGAAATAGAGCCCCAATCGTATCCATGATCCATCATGAAGAAATTGGGTAAACTATGCCATAATAGCCCGTCTAGGAATTAAGAACGAGGGTCTATGGCCTCTTTAATGTCTATAGACACGACCTCATGTTCTTGAAAGTTTGTTTTAGATAAAACAGATATTCAGCGCTCGTTGTTTTTTCTTCCTTTCTTTTTTTGGTGGCCGGGCCTTTTGCAGCTCCCACAAATAAATTTCTTGATTTTGTAATCGCTAGGACCTATATTTTGATCATCATTTGCCACTGTAAGAGATTTAGCCAGTAGCCTTGTCTTCGGAGCGATATTTGGGAATAAAAATTGCGTAATAGGATGAGAATTCGAGAGAAATTGATTCCATACCTACGTAACATGTGTTCCCTATAAGAGAGGGTTCTTAGCTAGAGTGACCCTCACCCGTATATGTATATGCAATCAGAACTCCTTTTACCCAGATAATAAGTAATAATTTATAAAATTAATGTTTTAAAGCTGTGGGTATCTCCCCTAAAAAGAGCTGTGTCCAGTGCATGATGTGGAGGAGGCGGAGAGGGGCGAAGTCTCCGAACCAGTGATATACATTACCTGGGAAGGGTCGCCCCAGGTATCTACCTTGGGGTGATCTAAGTCTAAGACACTGAATTATCTCAACGTACAGCCTCCGGTAGAATTATTGTGGAAAACAGGGACCAACCATCACGCCGAGAACAGAGCGATTCTCCAACGCCACATTTCCGCAATAATTCTACCGGAGGCTGTATCTCTATCTCTCCTCATATCGATTCCCGGACCAGTGCGCAGAACAAGGGTTAATATTACAATGGTGTGTATGCTCGATATCCTTCTCTTATTGGTGGATATCCAGGTAAACTCAGATAGAAGTTGTGATAATGCAGGTTCTCCTCGACAGGTTTAGCATCCGATCCTTTTAGCGAATTTCCTCGATGCGATTTGTCCGACCGCTCGAGCAAGCTGACAAGATAAACGCACCTCGATGTCACCTACTACAACCTCATGAATCACATTACGTGGCTGACATTCTGGTTCATATCCCTTACATGACCTCTCACAGATTTTGTTGGCCTTGTATCCGGAGAGAAGGGCAGCCCCGGAAAACTAAACCAAAGGCTAGTTATATCAGTGGCTAAACGTAGAAAACTAGTCTCCGAGGGTACGTCCACCGCTAGATCTATAAAAACCTTGAAGTAACTTAGTCTCAGACAGTGAAGAGTGGGGCTGAGCAGCTGCAGCGATGATTACTTTTCTGGAAAGCAACATTGGTCTCAACGTATATGTGCATTTACTACAAAATCAGTTTTACTCGGTTTAAATATACATGACATTCTTATGAAAAATCTAAGTCCATGTGTAGTAATGGAGTCTAGACAGCTCGGGGCTAGTTTAGCCCCGGAACGGCCCGCACCGTGCCTAGATTAGCGCTGTTCAGCTCCCGACACCCAAGATTCACCCAAACACGCCCACCTCCGTATACAAACAATTCATCCCGGATTAGTTCTTTTGTTACCAGTAAATGCTTGCTTCCTAGGATACAAAAAGCTGTATCCAGAAGGATCACACACCCCAGCAAACAAGAATGCGTGAATACCAAATATTATGACAGAGAGAGGTCTATCAGAACAATAGACACCCCAAACTCTTGTTTATGGGCGCTATAGTATTAACAGTAGATTAGTGATCAAATAGTTCTCTAACAATTTTCTTGCTTACTTGTAAGACCGTTGTTTGGCCAACCTGTTTACGCCTAATAATCTATAATTAACACCAAAAAACATTAATCCACCGGCTTTAATGTTTAGGAATGCTTAACTGATCCTCCACAACCAAAACTCTCGTATAAAATGTGATCTACAATGTTATAACCGAGATGTGAAAATAAATGAATTAAACAAAAACAAAAACAAAAACCGAGATGTGAAAGTTTGAGCCACCGAGTGATTTAGTGTGATTCAATTAGTCATAACTTTCCCCACAAATTTTTCTCCTCTGAAAGTGCTCATTTGAAATCGCTCCCTTAGTGCTCATAATTACATGATGTATGAAAACACACTTAGTTATCCTTAAGCATTTAAAATGGCCCTCCTAGAAGATATAAGGCCTCACTTCGTACACGTAATCCGCCACAAAATCGTTGCTGTCCACGCCAACGAAGTTACCAGCATTGTCCTCGAGAGGATTTTTATCCCAGATAGACTGGACGTAAGTGGCTTTATTCAAGGTTGTAGAAGCGCCGGGGAGGCAAGTCTTCCTCTGCTGCTTGTTCTTGGGGAGGACTTCCTGAGCGGGGACTTCCTGGGTGATGTCTTCACTATCATTTAGGCCCTTTAGTCCTGTAGATGAAAACTGAGTTCCCTGTGTGATAATGAAGGTAGAGTTTTCGATATTGCTACTTCTGCGTCCCTTCTTTCTCAATTCTGGGCCGGTTAATTTAACCAGTGCACGAAGGAGAATTCTTATACTATTCACAGTATTAGCGCAGCATAACTCTTGCCTTGTTCTCTTTTTGTAGAATTGCTACACACCTTTCTTTCCCCTCATCAGTCGAGTAGTCCCAAATCCTCCCTTTATCGGCACACCAGTATACAGCCCCGATTCCGGCATTCATGTAATCGACTAACCAGGTTTCAAAACACTCTTTTCCTTTCTGGGGGCCCACAAGTCCAACAAGGTTGGAAGGCTGGCGAAGGTCGCTTTTGATTTGATTGGTGAGGAGGATAAAATCCTTCTCGGGGAAGGCACAGGAAGATTGGAGATAGGCGCGAGAGCGTGTCGAAAGCTGGTTAGAGCTAGCTCTTTCCTGGGAGACTATGGGGAAGCAGAGCTCGTTCGGACTCATATTCTTATGGACAGGAGAGATAGAGAGCTCTCTAGAGCTCGCCTTCCTCTTAGCGGAAGAGTTCTCTGTGGGGCCAGTCTTCTTTTTGGCGGAGGCTATCGCACGGGGGGCTTTGTGGCCGAAGGGGCCTTAGGCGCCATTGTGAGCAGTGGCGATGATTCTGGCGATGCTAGTGGTACTAGTGATGCCGGTGATGTTGGGGATGTTGGGGATGCTTGTGGCGTTGGGGGTGTTGATGTTGAGGGTTGGTGTTGGTAATGTGAAATGAAGTGAAGTAAATTTGGAGATGGAAAAGAGGATTGGGGGGACGTCAGGGTTAGGTCTTATTACTGATGATGGGGACTCACAAAGAGAGGGAGGGAGGGGGGCTTTTAATATCCCACCTAGAGAGATCCCAATTTGTAGTGAATAACCGATACCAACGACAATCGATGTATAATGTACATTAGAGTCCTGGAATTTAGAGTTAGCATAATATACCCTTACAAAATAGTTTTTGAATAAAATCAATTGATAAATGAGCTAACAATAAGGATAATATCCGCAGTGCCCCATCGCGTGGGCCGAGTGATATGTCATGAAGAAGATATATATGTACAGCCGCATTTGAAAAGTATTGGCACTTCCAAGCCAAACTCACGAGGCAGTCCTTTCTGCTTTTCAATTCTCATATTCGAGACAATTGCCAGAGCTGCAATGTCTCTATTGCGGTCATACCTATCAATAAGTTGAGTATGCGCGAGTGCCATGATTGTTGGTGGGCTACAATTCATGAACGACTCAATATAGTAGGGTGCCAGTACTTTTCGAATGCGACTGTACATGGTCATCTCACGTCTGCCATGTTCAAATACCTCGAATACTGATTTATGGTTCTCTGATAGAGTCATACTATCGTTTCTATACGTACATCTACCCTATAATAAGTTATGCGCCTACATATACATGTATTAGTGTCTCGTAAAAAACAGGTATATATTCTCTATTTAGGTCTAAATATATGGCTATTATAGTATACATACATGTATATAGTTATAATTGTAAGCACGCCTTCCGGATCCCCTTTATTTGAGGGTGCCTTTTATGTCATCAAATAGAGGCTACACTTACATGTATGTGTGTACATACTTACATGTACTCATGGAACAAGGAGTCTAATCAAGTGATAGCTCTGTCACGCTGAGCGTCTTACATGCGTGTAGTTAGTCGCATCCATGTTGAATGACGCCACATGTAGCTTCGATGTTTATAAACTCAGTAGATCCTCCTGGGTTTGATTTAGTACATATATTTCACTATTAGATAATCTTGCTACTCCAAACATGATTAGCACTTTAGGTGATCAAGTCAATAGGTGAATTACATGTATATAAATGTACGTAGCGATATCTATCAATAACCAATTGCTAACTAGTACATGTGTTGCACGTAGTATATACACACGTGGAAGTACTACATAAAACCTGGTTGGCCTACTTTGGGTGCCAACTTACAAATAAGGGAGTCTTGTAACAGTAGAATCACGTACACCCGACTAAGCGGGCCATGTCAATTCGAAACAGGTTCGAATTACATATACTTACAATTTGCGCTTTCCCTTCAAATTCCATACTCGTCTAGAACCAATACGCTTTAACAGAACAGAGTGAAAGAAAACTACCGGTATCATTGATATATCGCATGACGTAATTTAATGGGGAAAAAGAAACAAAACAAACCAAACCGTTTAGACAGTAAATAGAGAAGTACCAGCGTCACAAAAACTCTGAAGCGAAAAAAAAAAACATACAAAGCAACCCCGGGCGATCTTGTCTGTCCTAGCTCCGTCAAAAATTTAAAAAAGTTTTTATGATCAAAAATAAAATAGCTCCACCCTCAATGTGCCAATCTAGCCCCGTCAATGTATTCGTAAAATCAATGGAAAATCAACGGGTAGAAGAACACAAGATTTATCGCATAATTTCCTCGAATATAAGTGCTACAAAGAATAAGGTTAGTCAGGCATCTTATCAAAGGTTGAAAAATACGTACTTTTCAGTTGTTCTTTGCTCAACTCGTCCTTTCTCCTGTCAAAGTCGAAGAACTCGTCCGGGATTGGGGGTGCAGTTGGCTCATCCTCGGGGTCATGGTAAGGCTCAAGGTATGGATGCTTGAGCGCATCCTCAACCGTGATACGCTTAGCCGGATTGAACGCAAGTAGCTTCTCAAGAAGATCGAGAGCCTGGGGTGAGGTCTTGGGGAACATTGCAGAGAACGGGATTCTCTTCTTAAACGGAAGCGAGCGGATATATTCACGAGCACGGCGAGACTTGATACCGTAATAGTCTTCCATTGTTGGGGTACCAAGGACATCCAGAATGAGGGTAAGCTGGTGGTGATCTACGGACAATATCAGTAATGTTCCACAGGAAGGCGGGGTGGGAGGTGAAGCATACAATCTTTGCCAGGGAACAACGGTTTTCCACTCAACATTTCAGCCAAGATACAGCCCACACTCCACACATCAATCGCCTTTGTGTACTCTTTGAAGGTCAACATAATTTCCGGAGCTCTGTACCATCTAGTAGCAACATATTCCGTCATGAAACCAGAGTTATCCTCGGTGCTTGCGGCAGATCTTGCAAGACCAAAATCGCAGACTTTCAAATCGCAGTTGGCGTTGAGAAGCAAGTTTGATGGCTTAAGATCACGATGAAGGACGTTCGCCGAGTGCATAGCTTTTAGTGCACGAAGAGTTTGGTAGATGAAATACTGGCAATGGTCGTCCGAGAGATCTTGAGTACGGATTACACGGTGCATGTCGGTCTCCATAAGCTCCTACATGAAATAGATTAGATCAGCTTCATCAAGATCCGCTGACGTATTATCCGGAACTTACTTGGATGAGATAAACCTCAGTGAAGCTGTCGTAATTCCTTGGCTTCTGGATATCGAGAATACTGATGATGTTCTCGTGATTGAAATACCTCAAGAGCTTCATCTCACGGAGTGTTCTCAGACAGAACATGCTATGGTCAAATGGTGTGATTTTCTTGATAGCAACCTTTTGTCCTGATGGTTTGTGAAGCGCCGAGCTGAAAGCTAAATCAGCTTCCACAAGTCCAGGAAACTTGAAATAAAGGATGAAATTACCAAACAACTCCATATGCACCTTCACCAACAACATCCTGGATCTCGTATTGGTCGCTGACGTTGAAAGAGATCTTCCGTGAGGAAGAAGTGTGCCGAGACATTGTTCTTTATCCTCTTACACAGAAACGATGAAATAAAGATGATTTGGAGAGAGCAAGCGCTAGGCTATGCTACACTATAATGCCGAGGAAAATCTGATATTTAGAAATGGGTCAATATTCAATTGTATTCCGATGCGTTGTCAGGTAAAGAGCTTGTGCAGATAGCACTGCAGGACTATCTCACTGAAGGGTAAGGAAACAGGGGAAAGGGTGGAAGAGGGCAATTACATTATCCAAGAAGAAGAGAACGGTAGTATTAAATGAATGTTTCTTTGAAAGAAAGCAAAGTGATTGAAGCTGGTTGATTATTCCTTTGGTGGGAGCGAGCAAAAGAGAAGAAGATGGAAGTGGGCGTGGAGGTGGAGGGGGAGGGGAGGGAGGAGGACAGGGAGAGAAGCAGCAGTAGCAGCAACAGTGAAAAAGGAATAAGAAGAAGGGGCACGCGGACAGTAAAGTAGTAATAGCAGTTTCCAACTAGAATAGGTGAAAGCTGGCTAGAGATTGGATCTCGGGAAGCGAAAAATAGCAACAGTGGTTTTGGGGGGAGGGGAGGAGGGGAGGCGCAGGGAAGGGAAGGAGGGGTCGTTTACCGAGCGTGAGCCCCACACACGATGTCTCAAGGGTCTTCTTCCCTCCCGCAAAACGTTCAACGTTCAACACAAGAATAGCTGACAGAGAATTCTTAATGGCAACGCTAATGATATACTACTAGGATGAAAGTAATAGCGATGAAGTATCATCTAAAAGAGGCTGCGGAGAGGCACTCTTGTCAAGAGCTCATGATGATCAGGCCTGACTGCTCGCCGGAGACGCTGGGGTTTGGGTCACATCACTCTCTGGTACCTTTCTTTGTGATAGTCCCACAAGGTTAGGTCTAGGTGCACCAACAACGCCCCCGGGAATAAGAGTAGCATCGGCACCTTGCTACCTGTACCTTTGTAGGAGTAATTGAGTCCTTGTATCAGAAGAGTAGGGCTTCGAGAATAGTTCCTTTCGAGAGTGGCATAGAAACTACCTAGTACGGCACCTGCTTGCATACGTACGCCGCACTGCGCTGGGTGCACGTATCCAGGCGGCTGCGGCGAAGTCTTGCAATGTCCACCACCTTCACGGCACTAAGTAAGCACCCGGTGAATTAGACCGCAAGAGATTTTCAATCCTTCCTCCCAATATTGGGCTTCTTCTTCTAGCGCCCGAGCTATGCATGTGCTAACTACAGCTATCTACCGGAAAACAAGTATTCTCTACACCTGACTGGAGTACAAGTGCTTTAATATATACATGTGGGCAATACTATCTAGCTCAATGCCAATCAAATGATACTTGACAATGACCTTAAGATTTCTTTAACAAGGTAGATGAAACTTAAGAATCGTGCGATGTCTGAAGGAGGGGTTGATTGCGAGACTCTTGCAACAATGGACGCGCCCTGCCCTTTGACCGCCTGTCTGAGATAAACATCTCAACGACCAGTCCAGTCCATCCATTACACGGCGGATATAGGTGCTTGTCTATTCGTTATGTTGGGTAGATTAATTACCCACCCCCGAAGCGCCCAGTTACGTGTCTCAACCCGCCCCTTTAAGCTTAATTCTTTGGGCCTTCTCCCAATGAAACCAAGATTTCGTCTATCTCTCTCTTACGCAAAAATGGCGCATTAAGCGAGAGTGTACAAACAAGCGCTAGTCTATGGGACTTAATCGACGAGTGACCAGGCATGATCTCTTCTGAAATACGACCACAACATGCAAGAACGTCATTGACATACCGTTATGTCCCCTTTGTAATCTCCACTGATTCGTTTCCTCTCATAATTTTTAAGATCCGACCAACCAGATTCCTTCGATGCATTACTACATGTAGTAGTGTACTTTACTCTAGTAACTGGGGTACAACAATAGCAGCAGTATTGTATTTCGTGCATAAGATAGGGCATACTCCAGGTACTCTAGGATTTTTAGAGTGTATGCATGCGCAGATTAAGCACTACTCTGGAGTTAGTATGTAAATATGTAGCTGGCGCGTGGGAAGGTATGTCAACCGCGGTTCTCTCGCTTAATATGCAGTGTGCAGGGATAACTAATATAATATTCCTTCTTAAATTTTTTGGTAAATACGCACTTGATCAAGGTCATAGACGACTCCATCATAGACGACTCCATCATAGATCCCTCACCCAGAAACTCCACCCTCACCCGCACAGTTACCATATACAGTCAACAAAAAGATATACCTTATAATTGGCTTCTATACCTCTCCTCAACCAATCAAGACTATCAACTGTCCAGGGCGTTAGAGGGGTGTCCAGGTGAACGGTGGAGCCATCAATATAGTAGATTGATGTAAGTGATCAGTAGTAGAAGGGAAGGTGCTGGACGAGTACATGATCACAAGCGCTGAAGACTATACATACATGTACTAATCATAGGACAAAGATATTGGTCTAAGCGTTAAGGTCACCGCATCCGAGAAAAATACTACGAGCTGCTCATGATATATATATATGTTACTGCGATATAATGGCTCTTATTACAACTTCATTTGGAACCTTTGTATGGATAGTAGTACCGCTCTCCCTGTATTGCTTCAGTATTTAATGTTGCACTTATTAATGGCATGAACTTAAATGTAATTACATGTAAGTACACCGTACTTAAGGACGTTTTGCATTTTTCACCTTGAACTTCTGACGAATTTAATTAATGTACGTATCAATACAAGTGGTAATATTCTAGTTCTGACTTCTATATTGTAAGTGGCTCGTTAGTACTGGTGGTGAGAAAAATATCAAGTAATGCATGCATGGTCTGTTTTACCTACATGTCTTATTTTGCGTCCCTGACCGAACAAGTTCCTTTTACAGTATGACGAATTTGTTTCGCCAATTGCAAGATTTGAAAAGTAACCAGAAAGAATCCATATAAACATATTCTTCGTGGATGTGTTAAAGCTTCCTATCTTTTTATGGAGGCTTCGACCATTCATGGACGGAACAGGCTCCTTTAGAATTCTCGGACAGTAGGTACTGCAGTCAGAATCTATATCATGCACGTACCTAAAGTGTAAATTTTAAAGTAGGTACATATGTAAACAGCTGATAGACATTTCTGGCTACAGTACTGTACATAGCTTTTTAGCCTGGGGATTGTGAGACTCGCTGCCCCAATTGGGAAGAACGCTTGAAATACATGCAGCACGAGGTACCGAGCCGTTTGACGTGCATACGTCACTCTAGCCCTTGTTAAGACATGGAGTAGGAGAAACAAAAGACCGAACGAAGGGGTGAAATTTAACAGCACATAACCCCTCGTGTCATGTAAAGAATATAATGTTCGTAGAGCTAGAGAGAGGCCTGAGCAGGAAGGAGCGGGGAACAACTAAGTGGTTACAGGGATTATGGTTGAGTAACCCGGCTATGATTTATGATTGGTGACTTGACTCCGTTACCTAGTTAGTGACGTCGTTGCGGTTGCTGGTGAGGACCCTTCCCCCTCTTCTCCCAAGCATTGAGACACCGATCTGAGAACCAAGGTGGGCCTGCAGCCAACAAAAAGAGGGGCTCATTGATAACGACTCTTCTAAGTGATTCTAGATAGCTACTGGACTTCATCGTTCAACTGATTCGATTGACTACGGCTGCGGATATTTCCCACCACTAGTATAAGTTATTGGGCTCTGAAAAAATCCCGTGATATAAACGATTTCACAAGTACAGACTTTCAAAATCCATGTGCATGAGCAATCTGCAACCACGTACAACTGACGGCTGATAGAGAGATTAGGAACAAGAATCACATATCATCAATGGAATCCAGTACAGGCCCCCCTTCGCTTCGCCAGTTGGCTGGGATCACCTCATCCTCCTCGAAGCCTTTCAGGCCATCTCCCCTTGCTACAGCGACGTCAATTGGAGCTGTTCATGACAGGGCTACGAAGATAGTAGGGCCGAGCGACGGCCATGAAGGACTAAAACTTTCAGGGAGAGTTATTTCTGCAGCATGTTTTCTACCTTACTCTCTGGGATATCGTCGGGGTGGTGAATGGGTTCGTCTGTCTCCTCTCCGTTTTTGACATTGAAAGGATTCAGATATTGACTAAAGATACAGGATCTGTTCCCACGACGTGGTTCTTCGGCATTGTATGATGCTATCAGGAATCTAAGCTCCGATGCAGCACCGTGGGAGACTACATTTGTGGGGTGGACAGGTGAAATTCATGAACTTCCTCCAATCAAACCAGCTCGGTCAAATCCAACAGGGGGATCGAAAAGCTCAGGGCAGTTCCCGATATCTGCGAGCTATGCGCCGCAGATGACGAGGACCAAGTCTTACCATGTCCCGCCACCAGTTCCTTTGATAAAGCACGACGGAAATAGAATGACAATGACGGCAGACTACGGCACACAGGAGGACGAGGAAATTAAAATTTTAAAAGATGACAGAGATGAATTGGAGGGTCTCTTATCAGAGAAAGGAAAAGCAGCCGGATGGGGTGATGTTGTTCCTGTGTGGATAGGAGGCGATGAGGATGGCAAAATGAGCATTGGAGGGGTAGATAGATGGAGAAATTATGCAGAGAGAGGTATGCTTGATATGATATGGAGGTAGGGGGTTCAACACAAATACAACGACTAACTTTTATGATAGTTATTTGGCCGCTATTCCATTATATCGTCCCACAAGACTTCTCCCCTCACGAGGGGTCTGCTCTCCAGGAACGTTCATGGTGGCGCGACTACCTGGAATTTAACAACGCCTTTGCCGATGCTATCATGAAAGTGTATAAACCAGGTGATATTGTCTGGATCCACGACTATCATCTGTTGATGTTACCAGAGATTCTCCGTCAACGGGCTGGCAAAGACATCTATATCGGCCTTTTTATGCATGCGCCCTGGCCCTCTAGTGAGATCTTCAAAGTTCTCTCTCGTCGCAAGGCACTTCTTTCAGGAATGCTTTCAGCAAATATGCTCGCTTTCCAATCCGATACCTATAAGAATCATTTCACATCGTGCTGTAAGAGACTACTGGGGTACACTGAGAGCTATAATGCTCGGGGTAATGTCACGGGCGTAGATACCCACGGAGCGCATTGTGCCGTTGAAGCTTTGCCCATCGGAATTGATGTGGAGAAACTCTTGAACGCGGCCGAAAGTGCAAGCATTAGTGCCAAGATGGAAATTATCAAGAATGCGTATGTTGGGCGTCAAATCATTGTTGGTAGGGATCGGCTTGATAGTGTGCGCGGGGTTGTACAAAAGTTGAGGGCTTTTGAAAGGTTTCTGGACCTGTATCCGGAGTTTATCGGCAAGGTATGTAATGGCTTTTTTTCATCCAGTTTTCCTACCGGCTTTTCTACCAGCTTTTTTCCCAGTTTTCATTTTTTTTTTCATTTTTTTCTTCTTTCCATGCCTTTACCCCCGCAATAGGGCTTGGCGCGGGCACTACCCCTGCAGTGTAGATTGCAATTAGATCTAACGCTAAAGCTTGCCCCTCTTATTTATTGCAGGTTGTCCTTATCCAAGTCACTTCTCCGTCCTCACTATCTCAATCTTCTACCATCGAACACCAAGTTGCAGAACTAGTTTCACATATTAATGGGAAGTACGGGTCGTTACACTTCTCACCAGTTCAGCATTATCCCCAGTATCTAGAGCCAGAAGAATACTACGCACTTCTTCGTGTCGCAGACCTTGGCCTTATCACTTCTGTCCGTGATGGTATGAACACAACCTCACTGGAGTACGTCGTCTGCCAAAAAGATAAGCACGGTCCGGTCATCTTATCTGAATTTACGGGTACCGCCGAATCCCTCACCGACGCAGTAATTGTCAACCCTACAAATACCAGAGGAGTCGCAGACGCCATTGCCACCTGCCTATCCTTGACAGACGAGGAGAAGAAACACCTTCACGGAAAGCTCTACGAATACGTTACTACCAATACCGTACAAACTTGGAACTCGCAGTTCCTTAATAAACTCCTTGCAGAATTATCCTACCAGTCAACCAACTCAATGACACCAGAACTCAATCGACGACGCTTCTTGGAGGCATACCAAGCCGCAGAAGAGGGGAAAGGAAAGCGCTTGTTTATGTTCGACTATGATGGAACTCTTACTCCTATCGTTACTGATCCAGAGATGGCTATTCCCGCTGATAAGGTTGTGAGGAGCATCAAAAGACTTGCGCAGGAGGAGGGAAATCAGGTTTGGATCATCTCGGGTAGAGACCAGAAATTTTTGGAAGAGTGGTTGGGACACATCGGAGAGCTCGGATTGAGCGCGGAGCATGGATGTTTCATGAGGATGCCAGGAAGCGATACATGGGAAAATTTGGCAGAGAGTGTGGATATGAGCTGGCAGAAGGTTGTCATGGAGGTATTCTCTCGATACACGGAGCGCACTCAAGGTACATTAACTTTTATTTAACTTGCTCTCATTTCCTTTTTTCCTTTTCTTTTTTTTTTAAGGAAAAATGGGGGGAAATATGATATACTAATATAAATTTCTATCAGGGTCTTTCATCGAACGGAAATCCGTAGCTGTGACTTGGCACTACCGCCGTGCCGACCCTGAACATGGCGCGTTTCAAGCTCGCGAATGTATGGCTGAGCTATCTAACCTAATGAACGAGCTTGGACATGAAGTCGAAGTCATGACTGGAAAGGCGAACCTAGAAGTTCGACCTAAATTTGTTAACAAGGGCGAAATCGCGAGAAAGTTGGTCGAGACTTCCGATGTACCTCCAGGGTTCATATGGTGCGCCGGTGATGATACTACTGATGAGGGTGAGTACCAAGGCTTTCCAAGAGCACGCCATGTATCCCATCCCTCCCAACTGCTTAAGCTAGTGCTATTTAATCCTATTGTCCAAGTGGAACCTAAACTGATATGGTTTGAATAGACATGTTTCGAGCCCTCGAAAAAGCGGATCTTCCAAAAGAAACGGTCTTCACTGTAACTGTTGGTCCAGCCTCGAAAGAAACAGAGGCTAATTATCACCTTTTGGAACCAGCTGATGTCGTCGAGGGCATTAGCTTGTTGGTAGGAACTACAACCCTAGAAGAAATTGAGAAAGCTAGTGGGGAAGGGAAGCCAAGCCTTTAGCTCTGCATTGGCTTGTTTGTAGAACAAAAAGATAATTACGGGCTGGGCTGAACCACCTCTGTCCAGACCTTTGAGAGACAACTATATATACACTGATAAAAGAACTTTCCTATATCCTACCTTCCCGATAGATAGACTGGACTAGGAACTCTTCTTGTTGCGTTGTTATTATGTACATGTATGTATGTACGTACACACATTTGTTTTTTTCATTCTGCAATTATTGGGTTATTTTCAGGGAAGCGAAGGAGAATTTGAGCTTTATGGCTTTATATCAATAGACGGCTATATATGGATGGATATTTATTGAAATCAAAACGAGTACATTTTTCCGATCCGGTCTGATGAATTACCTTATTTATAGCCCCCCCCCTTTCCCAAAAAGCCTTTTAGGATGTATGATAAGGCTAAAAATAAGAATGCACAACCTCCTGTAATCTTGGAAAACCCAATAGTGAGACAAACAAGAGATAGCATCGTTCGTGGGGTACACTGTTGAGAAAAGTTGGACCAGGCACTGGCAAACGAACTACCATAGTCATAACTAGGCCACGATATTATGGCTGAAAACAATCCTTGACCCATCACTTGAAATAACCCAGGTGTCTGCTAACTTGTTTTCAATAAGGCCCACCAACCAGACATTGCACAAGGTTATGCGAGTGATAAACTGTGATTGTCTAGTTCAAACGCGGGTTGGCCTTATACAAACTTTGCCAGCCAGACTTTTTGCAACCGTAGCATTTATCAGAAATATCTATCCCTCTATAAATTACTAGACCTCTTCCTATCTCCTCAGTTTCATATCGCAAATAGTATCAATACATAGTCTGGTATATTTTGTCTATAAAACCACAATGACTACCGATACGAATCATGACCCGAATACGAGTCCTACCTCTGATACGAGCCCTCCTGCCTCAGATACAAGTTCTACCCCAGATATCAGTTATACCCCAGATACTAGTCCTTCCCCGAGTATTGCTCCGGATAAGAGTCCTGATTTGGTCTGATCTCCTTTTCCAATTCCTATTACACGAACTCAAACTAACCGTTTGTTTTGAAGGAGCCACGTCAAGGCATCATTGAAGATGACCCGATACCTCTGATTCGGTCTCACACGGATGTTATCATACGCATATACTCTAGGGCGTTTTCTGCTCCTGATGTAATTCTAAGCTCCACACCGCCTAAGCTGCCCGGGTTACTCACACACATCGTGTACATTATAGGTGACTCTATGGAAAAACGGCCCAAATGACATCAATGATAAGGGTCATGTTCCGGGTTTACATGCTGCTGGAGTCGTTACCATGGTTGGATCAAGGTGTAGGAGGTTGAAAGAAGGGGACCGGGTCATCTTTTCGCCCTTGAGCCCTTGTCGAACCTGTGTTTTCTGCAAATCGGTCCTGCACAATCTCTGCCCGCAGAGGACAGCACTTGGCATTCCGCCTGTAGATGGCACGCTTCAAAAGTTTTGCGTCGTGTCTGAGGATCTCTGCGTTGTTCTTCCTGATAACCTAACGTTTGAGCAAGGAGCAATTGTTGGGTCGTATGCCTTTGCTTTTCACGTCTGCAGGCAAGCCAGAATTAAACCAGGCAATAGCGTCGTTATCTTTGGCGAGAATCGTTGTGCAAAGTTCTGTGCTTCTGCGGCAAAAACCTTTGGCGCTACAAGGGTAATACTTATTGGAAGGCTGGATTGTAATTACTACAACACGAAGCCTATAGATACGCCGAGAGAAATTGCGAAATCCATACTCAACAGGTACAAACTAAATACAGGCTCCCATGTTGTGATCGAAGCGTCTGGATTGGATATCTATATGAACACGGGAATCTACATCCTCAGAAATAGAGGGACCTTTGTTCAGGCCTACACAACTGCGTATGGTTTCGATAGGCCTGCAGAGTTTCCGCTGAGGAAGGCCTGCATGAAGAATTTAGTTTTCAGGGGTGCTCGCGGGTGTCTTCCTGAAGATTTTACAGCCTCGATAGAAATGCTCGCTAGCGGTGACTTGAGCATGGAAGAAGTCAAGAACATATATGAGTTCGGGGACACCCAGGCGGCCTTTGAGAAGGCCCACAAAAAGATTAATTAAGGCCAGCAATACGGCACGCCGCACGGGAGACCTGAGTTTTCTCATCAGCGGGCCTCGAGATGAATAATTACATCACGAGAGTATTGGTCTGTCTACGCCCTTTTCGCCTACGAGCACATGTAGTTGATTGCATTGTCACTGCGTGGTGGCCGCACTATCAATGGATAGTCTTCCATGTGTTTGATTGAAAAAAGAAAAAAAAAATCGGCACGCGTTCGAGAGAACAAAGTTGCTCCAGCGCCGAGTGATACCTTGTGCAATAAAGTGGAATGCATGTGTGACATAACTATAATGATATTTGGCATCAACAGCGCCACCGCTTCTTGGGTGCCTGTTTAGGCCTCTCGAGAGAAAAGAAACCGTGAGTGACAGGTCATGAGTAAGTTACAAAATACGCAACTCTCGTGACTTTAAAACTCAAAACACTGTTTATACAGCATTCTATATAAAACGCACATATATATATAATTGATGATCTGCAATGCATACCCACCAATGCAACCAACATATACCCAAGCTACATCCAGTACCAAGTCGCGCCTCACTCATATCCCCATTCCCACATCACCAGTCCAAACACACTTTATTCCTCAACCCCCAAACCAAACACCTTATCCCCCATAACACCACGATTACTAACCCAACCCCACCCCATAACCCGGCGCGGCACCCACCAACCCGGCACACCGGACCCAACTATCCTATCCTATCCTATCCTATCATCTCCTATCCTACATACCTCCTGTATGTATATACTGTACTACTCAACGACTATATACGCACCTCCTATAACTTGTACTCCTGCCCAGCACAGCGACAGCGGACTTGCTACCCGGTGCCTATAGTTGCTTGCCCAGCTGGTCATTGTTCAGCTTGCTTTCTTGTTTGCGCGCGCGCGGATTCACGGGTGTGCTACGGCGCCATGCAATGCAGAATGGAGAATGCGATGCGGTATTTTAGCGGTGTTGAAATGGCTATGTGTGTGCGAGCGTGGGGGATGTATGTGTATATGGGGATTGGGCCCCGGGGGGGGGGTACGTCGAGTGTAGGTACTTGGTGTGTAGAGAGATGTATGCAATCAATTAATGAATTAAACAAAAATAAGATAAAAAGAGTGTGTAGAGAGTGAGTGAGTGAGAAGGATAGAGCTGGATAGCTAGATAATCGGCGGATTGGGGGGGGGGGTGAATGTGTGGGATGTGTGGATGGGTTTGAGATCCGTGGATAGCCGGCGATCTGGATGGGATGGGATGGGAGGGGTGAGATTTGGATGGGATGGGATGGGATGGGATGGGGTGGGGGGTGGTGGTGTGGATGGGTGAGGTGAGGTGAAGTGGGGAGGGCCGGGTGATGGCTCATGATCAAAAATATTATACGAAAACGAAAAGAGCGACGGAAAAACCGGTGAGTGAGATGGTGCAGGCGGGTGGGTGGGGTGTGTGTGCTTGTGATTATACAGACAGATGGATAGTACTTACATGTAGTATGTTACAAGTATGTAGAGAGTATGGGTAGTAGTACCGGCACGTCATGTGAGAGAGTAATTTAATAATTAAACACACATATGTAGATATTTCCAGCTCCCAGGCCGAGCAGGAGGTACATGTATAGCATAATCAACCCGTCGCGGGTCAGGCAGCCTAGCCTAGTAATCTAGATATCCTCCGATGATCACCGCAATACACTACAGGGCTGCCAGCCCTATATGCTGCTGGCCGGTCCTGTGAGACAGCTCTCGTTCTCTCTAGAATAACTGTAGTCAAGAAGAAGAAAAAAAAGCACCGCTCTCTGTCTACCTCTCGAGCACTGATCTACCGCCTCTCTCTCGTACGAACCTCCTCCTCCTCCTCCTCCTCCTCCTCCTCCGCCGCCGCGCGCGCCACCATCTGCGCGACCGCCGATCCGCTCGGGAAAATAGTCGTGATAGAGTTTCCGCTAGCTGCTTGTATCGACCGGCGGTGCGGGTTTTTGGGGGGGGCTCGAACATCGAACACTCACACCGCACCGTACTGTACCCTAGTTGATCGATTGCTTAATTAATTAGATACAGGTCGCTGTTCCCCGGCCGCCCCCCCCTCTTTTGATGTGGCTTTGTAATATTATAATTTAGGGTTTTACCGGCGATTCGCGGGGGAGTGACGGGGGGTGCTGCGATCGTGGAGGTGTATTGTGGAGGGGGGGCGGGCGGAGGGAGGAAGCGGGGGGTCCTAGAGTAGGTACCTTGGAGATTGTCTGGAGTAGAGTAGACCAAGTAGATGACCGGCCTGTAATAAAGTTCCGGTGTAGAGCACTCTACCTACCTACCTACCTACCTACTCCTTTTCCCTTCCCCGGTTGCTGCTGCTGTTGCTTCTAGGTGTATTAGTCGTGAGCGCATGACGTAGGCCAGCCAGCCAGCCACTGGCCATGGGCGTCGTCGGGGAAGTGCGGTGCGGTGCGTGCGGTTCGGGGCGGCGTTGTGTCTGTTATGTAATCACTATTGTACTAGTAATACTAATACAATATCGCTGCCTCGGATCCTTTCCCCCCCCCCCCCCCCCCCCTAGCTAGCTAGCTAGCTAGCTAGTTACATGTAGCTAATTAGCTGGAGCTTCGTATTGGATTCGCATCGCGACCACTGGCTGGCTGTGCTAAGGAGGAGTTACAGCGCACAGCTGCAATCGTGTAATCTAGAGTAGAGTAGCGAGAGTAGGCAAAGTGCCTACATACTCTAGAGAGGAGGAGCATGTACTCTAGAGTGGTGCTGGATGACAGCAGCAGCACGCAGACACAGGCCGCAAACCCGGTTCCGCCGGCTGTCCTCACCGTAGAGTCGGTACCCTCTGCCTACCTACTCTACATCATATCGCTTCACAGCTAGCTAGCACTGCAACTGGTAATCTACTCTAAACAATTGCAATCCCATCCAGCCCTCCCTCCCATCCTCCACCCTCAATCCAGCCGCACCAAGACCAAGTTCCAGCACTTCTGGAAGAAACCCACCGAATAACCTTCTCCCATCCCCCATCCCCGAGCGTTGAATTTGTTCAGGGTCCTACCTATGTATGTAGTTGGCTTAGTCACACACCTGGCTAGCTGCAGGGACACGGATAGATAGGATAACCCGTAGCTTCGGTTGCAGCTCGGCAATTTGCCGGTGGTGCCTTTGTCGCTTAGATAACGAGCGTCGAGCGGACTGATAACTAACCCTTCCCCCCATGGCAGGCGTGGCAACAGGGGGGCCTGGGAGGGGGGGGGGGAACGTGCGGTGGGAGCCGCATGGATATGTGCGAGTGGAGGGTGCACGCACGGGCTTGGCGGAGTTAAGAAGGGTTTGGGTTTGGGTTTGGGTTTGGGTTTGGGTTTGGGGTGATGGGTGATGGGTGAGAGTGCTTGGGGGGGGGGGTTTACAGAGAGGAGAGGAGGATGACTGTGGAGGAGGAGAAAGAGGGTGGTAATGGGGGGGACGGTGGAATTAACGAAGGAATTAAGGAATTAACGAGGATGAGCATTAACGGAGATTAACGAAATTCGCGAAAGCTACCTATGTATGTAGCTAGCTAGGGAATTTAATTATATTAAATAACGACGCAGAGCTAAACGAATCAAATAACAACACTCGTAAAGTAAAAGAAGAGAGAGAGACCCTGAATATCTGTATTGTTGATCCTTCTTCTACGTACCTTCTCTACTAGCTGAGTCTAGAGTAGCCTCTCCAGCTCTCTTGCAACTACCGGCCCTCTCCCACTTTTCTCTCCCACCCCTCCTCTATCTACCACCTCCCACCTCCCACCCGTTCCATCCAGCTCCCACTCTTCCATTCCATCCCACCGAGGGATTTAGATTACAAACAGCACCAGCGCCAAACCAAACCAAACCTTTCATCATCACTCAACCACACCATGACAGGGATCCCACGCTCTCTGACCGCCCGCCCGCCGTCGAGTCCGTACTTGCAGCACTTAATTCACTCATAGGTGTGCCACGTGATCTTGATTGTCTGTACCAAGGGGCTAAGGAGGGGGGCAAAGGAGGGACAGCCGCGGAGCGCTTGTGCTTGTGCTTGTGCCGTGTGATAGACGCCGCGCCGTTTTTTTCGTTTGTATGTGGGTACATGGGGTGGCAGAGATGGCAGGTTTTGGATGCAGCGGGACGGCTGGCTGGTGAGGTGTACCTACCTACTCTACTCTACTCTACTCTGCACCGGCCGGCGAGGAGAGGGCACCTGGTCACGTAGAGTATGCGTAGAGAGTGCAGAGGAGAGTACGTGCATGTCTTTGCCTCCTCCTCCTCCTCCTACGCTATTGCTATGTAGCTCCAGCGGCGGGCGGTTCTCGTGATGGGCTGTTTCTACGCGTGGGCGTGGGCGTGGGCGCACAGTGGTGCCCTACTCTACAAGGTACTCTATCTAGACGAGGATTTTAGCGAGTGGCGAAGAGTGTCTGTAGAACCATTGTGTGATGCTCAGGACGACTGTGGTCCGTTCGATCGAACAAACGCAGAAATGTGGTGGCGAGTGATACATACACGCACAGCACAGGTAGAGTAGAGGCCGTAGAGCATGTAGAGTAGAGCAGAGTGGTCTGCACCCGGACCCTTAAACCTGGGATGGGATGGGATGGGATGGGATGGGATGGGAATGGAGATAGGTGCAGTCGGTATTCCAATTCCACTCTACTCTATGTACTCTAGAGTACCTACCCAACCTAAGTATAGTCGCACCTCGCTATCTCGTAATTCGATACCCCGGACCCCTTGCTGTCTCGTACGAATTTGTGGGACAGGTACTGCCCTTCTCCACCAAAACTATTTGCTGTCTCGTATATCTGCCATCTCGCGGCCCCCAGAATACGCCAACGGCACAACGAGGTGCGACTGTACCCGCGTCAGGGAAAAAGAACCAGAACATGCAAGTGAGAAAGCAGGGATTATTTGTATGGAGTGGCTGCCATACAAACTACATAGGCATTTGCATGTTCTGGTTCTTTATCCTAGACGCGGGTACTAGAGTCTAATAAAGTGCAATGACAAATCTGCTGTAACGAACGGGTTTTGGTAATCCGAAGTGGAAACCTTCACTAGCTCAGTACATGGAGTGCATAGAGTAGAGTTGAGGTTGCATACAATGCATACATACATGCACTAATTCGAGCCAGGCAGACAGACAGACAGACAGACAGACAGACGCCCTCCCGCCCGCCCGCTTCCTAGAACAAGAGGCAGTAGAGTATTAGGACTACAGTCACTCACGGGGTGAAGGCGGATCCTGTCTGACGGCGGTCAGGGATTTGAGGCCAATAAAAGAGTTAGATTTTGGACGCCAAGGGCAGCCGTCAGCAGGTGAGCGACTGTAGACTCTTCCCTCTCCCCTCTGCCCCCCCGGTCGTACGTAGCGGTAATGATCTACGGGCGATCACACAAAACGAAACATCGTCACTAAGCTGTTCCCCTTCCCCTTGTACCTACTCCCCATACTAACCTAACCCTTCTCGCCAAGCCTACCCGCAAAAGGCCACGTGCAGTAGCGCGTAGGGCTAGCCCCGATACGTGCGGTGGTTTTAAGGTTTTCGGTCTAGCCGTGTTTTTTTTATTCCTTTTTATCTTATTTTTTATTTTTTTATTTTTTCCTTTTTGCCTTTTCGCGTGTAGTGGCGCGGTGCGGTGCGGTGCGGTGCGGTGCGGTGCGGCTCAACAGAAGCGATCGACGCAGGAACAGAAAACGAATGGGTAAGGATATGTAAAAAAGGGAAGGGGGGGAACGGACGGGTACCGTAAGGGGGGGGGAGAGGGAAAGGGTCTCACAGCAGCCCTAGCTAGCTGCTCAACCCAACCGGCCGGGGATGAAGGTTTTTTGGTTCTGTGGAAAAGCAAAAGAGAAAAGAAAAAAAAGTGAGGTGTGAGGTATGAGTGAGTCTTACGCCGGTTTGGAATCGTGCTGGGCTGGTGTGAAATAACGTTGTGAGGGAAAAGCTAGAGGGAATATTCCGTAATGTACTCTAGCACTGACGGTAAAGATGGCCCTGGCAGGCCCTGGCAGGGGAGGTCGTGTTCCCGCCCTAGGAAGGCGCTAGCGGGGTGGCTTGACAGGAAGAGCCAGGGAAATGCTCTACGTCATGACAGATAGCCCAGACCACAAAGGGGGTTGTTGAAGGACCAGAGTGGCGAATAGGAAGCAGTGGATTTGGGCAGAGAGTAAGAGTTTACTGTATCTGAACAGGGGTTTCTGGTCGCCTAGTCTGAAGGATGTATCGTAGATACTCTACTCTACTCATCCTTTCTCAACCTGCTTCCTTTGTCAGTTACCAGGTTAACGTTCCGTCTTACATCCGGCTCAATCGTGGGCGAGATTCATCCAATCTACTCTATCTACTCTATCTACTCTATCTGTCTACTCGTAGGTTTAGTGGTATGCAGACCCAGTTCAGTCCGGAAACGCAAAAAACTACGAGAGCAACAAGCAAAAAAAAAGGGACTCTAATAATACCTGATACCGACCAAGGAATGAACCCCCCCCGCGTCCCCGTCATGGCATGCATGAAGAAGAATAAGTCCTGTTGCCTCACGGACCCATACTGCAAAGAGATCTAGCCCTCTGAACAAAAGCCCTCATGTGTTAACCACATATGCCTTGAGCTTTCTTGAGCAAACACCAGCGCAGTATGTACCATACACCTACAAGAAAATGAATATCGATAATAACTCATCAGCTAGCTAGCTAGGCAGGTCTTCTTCGCGGATATGTTTTCCCAGATCAGCACCAGCGGATATACACTCTAGCACGAAGATCTAGATCTCTAAGGTGGTCCAGAGTACCGCAGAAACTCGCCAACTTGATTATCTCCGTGCAGGGATTTCTTCATTGATGATTGGCTGAAAGGCAGAGATCAGCTTCAGATATTTCTTCTACAAGTTAGTTTTTGGTCAGATCCGCTAGCAAAGTTCGTGAGTTTTTGCGGTACTTCTTTTTTTGTTCGAAGGTTGTGGTTCATCTGGAACACACTTCCGGTCTGTCAGACATGAGTGTTTGCTCTGATCCTCCCGTCAAAGATCTCCAGTCCCGGTCCCCCCAATCAAGGCAGGAGGTACAGTGGTTTTGATATTTGTTGTTCACTGGATAATGACGGACACCGGATGTTGACTGGCAGGGTGTTTGAGCCAATAAGCAGGCGCTTGGGTGTTTTGTCTTTCTCCTTTTGGTTGAAGCCGTCAAGTTTCAACATGATCCAATGTCCGTCGATATGGTTCAGTGAATGATTGACTGACTTAGGCAAACCCTTTCCTTCTTCCCCTTTGCTCGCAATTAACCACGTGCACTTGGCAACCGTCCGAACGAGCTACGATATCTCAACTCAACACGGCATGCCGTGTTCCCGTCTGAGCAATATAACACAAGCCTTTATTTGGGGCATGTGTTTTTGTGCGTCGTCTC